GGCCCCTTCTCATCAGAATTGCTGGATCATGACTGACCCCTGGAGGCGGCTTCTCTGCTTTACAGTCAGCTCATGGGTTGGGATGTGAAACTCCAAAGCTGCTGCAGAAGCTTCCACCTGTCCTGGGCCACCCCTGCCATCTGTGGGGAAAAGACCTGTACCTTGTCTTCTTAGCCCAGCCAGTCTCACAGGCATTCAGCAGATTAAAAACTCTAAGCATGTGCTATACTCGGCTAAGCTCCTGCACGCCTTTTTCTGGGGGTGAGCTGGAATGCATTCCGGTTCCCAGCATCCCTGCACTTTATTCCCGCTAAAGAAGGCTCAGTGGTCAGGGAGGACCTCTGTCAGAAAGAGGTTCCCAGACCCGGTTCTGCCTCTGACTTGCTGGGAGTCCATGAGAAAATTGCTTCTGCTCTTTCGTCCCAGTTTCCCCAGCTGAGAAATGGGGGGTTGAGCCAAATGGTCTAAGGTTCTGGTGGTCAGGATGAGGGAGAGGCCCTCGGGGTCAGCCGAATACCTGAGAGGCAGGACAGGCCCGAAGGTGAGCAGCCTGAGCACATCAGGTGGGTCCGGAGCTGGAGCATGAGCCCCACAGCCTGCAGAGCAGCCCTGGACTCAGGAGCCTGCTGACACCAGCCCAGTGGGACTTCAGAGATATGGGGTCCAGGCTTTGCTAATGTTGCAGGGCTGGGGGCTTGGAGCTGCAGATTCTGACCCCACAGCTGCTTTAGACATACCAGATGAGCTGGGAAAAGACAGCACTCTATGAAATGAGCAGTCAGTCCAAATAGATAAGCTATGAAGGGCTGTGGGAGGGACCCAGCCGTAGCCTGGGGCTACACACTGGCTTCCAGCATACTCAAGCAGCTGGCCGCTGGGGGAGGGGCCCCAGGTATGAGAGGCAGGGCTCAAAATCTAGGGCTAGCCTCCACAGGAACCCCCTCTGGAGAGCCCAGGGCAGTTGGGGAGGGGCAGCAGGCAGCAGGTGCACTAGGAGCATGTTTTACAAGGCACCCAATATTGCATCTGCTCAGAGAGGCAGCCAGCTGGAAAGTGGGTGCAGTAGGCAGGGTGGTGGCTGCTCCCCTCGGCCAGGCATCCAGCCCAGCACCCACCGGAGTCCGCCTCAGGCCTGCTCACTTGGGTCATCTGTGCTCTCGACCCTCTGGTCACAGCCACAGAAAGAAGGCTTTGGGGCAACCAGGTAAGCTGGCCCTTGCGCGAGAATGTAACCCACTCCTGCGCCTGGACAGCCAGGCAGCCCCTCGACAGGAGCCCCACTCTCCAGCCCCCTCATTCCCCAATCCTCCCACCTGCTCCCCTGTCCCGGCACATGCCTCCGCTCACTCTCATCTCTTTTCCTGCTCCCAGGCTCTCTGCTCACATGTCCTTGACTCTCCTGTGAGTCTGTCCAAGCCGCCTCCTCTTTACGTGACATTCTCCCCGAAGGCACCAGAGTACGCAAGCTCAAGCCCCTGCACTTCACCTTTACTCCCAGATATGGGAGATGACATGAAGACCCAAACGCCGCTTGGCAAAAGATCTGGAGTATACAGAGGGGCAGATCTGAGACTGTGGAAGCTCTGGAGGTTCCCTGCAGGAGGCTGTATTTAAGCTGGCTCTTGAATGTGGCTCTGAACTGAGAACCCGCCCTGAAGCTCCACACCAGGAGAAAGCTGCCTGCTGGACCCCTCTATTTGGTGTCTCCGAGAAACTTTGCACTCTGGAGGTCTCTGAATCCAGAAAATCCCATCGCAGCCGTTTCTTCTTAGGGAAACCACCACCTCATACCCAGTTCTGCACCAAACCCACATTTGAGTAACGGGGCTCCTACCCTGCACTGAGTGCTCTGCATGAGCCAGTGCCCAGGGGGAAAGAGCTCTGAATACGAAGCCAACACATGTGAGGCTTAACTCCACCTCCAGCTCCCACAACTGTGGGTAGTGAAGGGCCCTAAACCAGTTTGCTGAAAGACCAGCCTGCCACAGCAGGACAGTCCATGAAGCTTGTAGGTGTCCAATATTTAATGAAGTCACGGTTTTGTTAACAAAGAAGAAATGAGGGTGGGAGCGGGATGGCCACTGGGTGGGCAGCCAACGGGCCTGCACAGACTCCGCTCAGCTGGGTCTCCAGAACGACCATCAGCTTCTCCTCCTCATCCTCACAGCCCCACCTTATGCTGTCTTCCAACTTACTCAACAGGTGACCTTACAGGCTCCCAACTTGTCCGGGAAAAAAAGACGGGGGGAACCGATGGATACAGAGGCCCAGGTGTAGGGGCAGGACCAGAGGCAGCATAGCGCCTACTGAGACAGGTAGGTGAGGGTCTGGACGGTGGGCGTGGCTGCTGCAGGCATGAAAAGGACGTGCAGACGGCAGCACTCCCAGGGACCAATGTCAGGGTCTCCATATGTGGATGTGTGCAGAGGTGGGGGTGCTGAGGGAGGAGGTGCAGGGAATTTCTCTTCTCTACTGACTCTGAGTTGGAGATGTCAGAGGGAACCATGGCCCATTGTAAACTAACGCAATGTTCCCACCCACAGGGTTAGAACTCCACCCCTGGAAGCAGTTCTGAGGGGAGCATTAATATGGGGAGAGTGCAGGATCTGTGTCCAGAAGGGAGAAGGAGGTCACCAAGGAGGCTGACCCTCCTCTGGCCAGGTGGCTGCCTTCTGACACACCAGACTCTGTAGCACAGTGGGCCCATACACACCCAGCCTGTCAAACTACAGCCCTCAAGAAGGCTTTGGCCAAATTAATGAGCGGCTCCCTCTCCCAGGAGGAAGTACAGCTGAAGTTTGGGGTGGGCAGTAGAGCTGTGTACACTCAGCTCCCTCCCTCCACAGTCAGATAGGAAGGAAGGAAGGGCCTTCAGCCAGGCTCACCCAGGCTGGGGTCTGAGTGTCAGTGTCTAGCCAAGGGCTTCTGGCTTAAGGAGGGAGCCCAGCTGCTGCCATGGAGCTGCCACCCTAGCGAGGGTGAAGGAACAGGAAGCACCGCCGCACTTCCAGGCTCAGGCTGCCTGGCCAGATCTGGTCTGTGGGCCCTGTAGGCTGGTAGAAGCCATCAGGAGGAGGAAGAGATGCAGCCACCAGGCCCCATCCCTGCAAGTCCTATTTCTGAAAGCTTGGGTATACAGTGAGTATTAGGCTGTGGGCTGCTGGGCCAGGAAGGAGTGTTTGCTTTTCAAGGGTTATCTACTGAATTGATGAAGGAGAATTACAGGTACAACCAGCTTAGAGATGGACATTTTGAGACAGCAGGCAGAAATGGAATTTAGCGCTGGGGAAGGAAGCAGGCTTGTGAAAGCAGCTCTTTTGGGGAGGCCAGTCCTGTGTCAATGTCCTCAGCACGTTCAGCAGCGGCTGGGGGAGTGCAGGACAGGATTGAAGCACAGGAGAACTTTCTGGATGATAGAAATATTCTATATCTTGAAAGGAGGTGGGCTATATGATTAATGCATTTGTCAAAATGATCAAAATGTACACTTCAGATCGAGGCATTTCACTTAATATAAATTTTATCTTAAAAACATTTTTTAAAAGACAGATGGGCTGCATGCAATGGCACACGCCTGTAATCCCAGCTACTTGGGAGGCTGAGGCAGAACTGCTTGAACTCCAGGAGGCGGAGGTTATGGTGAGCTGAGATCACAACATTGTACTTGAGCGTGGGCCGAGGCTCCATCTCAGAAACAAAAGACACATGAAGGTTTTCAACTTTCATTAAAGGCAGAGTAGCTGGTTATAGATTAGCCTCCCCACAAGAACAGTTAGAAAAACTGGACAAAACTGTGCCTCCCCCGCACCCAAAAACAATTGTTGGAAGGTAACTGGAGACCTCGGCCAGGACTTGAGCGGCCAGGCCTAGAAGGTGACCCCGACAGTCTGTAGGGGGTTTCCCCACATTTGGTGATTGGTAAACAGCATAGGGTTAACGGGCTAAGAAACTGACTATGAAGGGATAGTTGAGGCTGGAAAGCCGAGCCGAATGTCTGGCACTCTCACAGGCCTGAAATGACATCATGAGAATTTGGGCCCCAGTAAAGAGATGAGACCTAGGTGGGGACCCTGGAAGGGCCACCCCTAGGAGTCCAAATGAAGAGACCAGCTGTCACAAAACCTAAAACCTGCTTTGAACCAGCTTAGTCCCAAACTAGATGATGACGGTGATCTGCCCTTACTCCGACTGCGTGCCATAAAGTCAAAGTAAATACTCTCTGGAGGCAGATACGAGTTTACTAGGCATGCCATCAGACCAGACTAAAGGAGAAAGACCAAGAGATAAAAAAGACAATAGAAACATACATAGATATGAGAGTCCTCAGGTAGAAACTTTAAAATAACTTTTATTATCATAGTAAATTTTAACAGTATTTTTCCTTTTTTTTTTTTTTGAGACAATGTCTGTCGCCTAGTGCAGTGGCGCGATCCCAGCTCATTTCAACCTCAGCCTTCAGGGTTCAAGCAATTCTCCTGCCTCAGGGATCCCCCTACCTCAGCCTCCCAAA